ATCCCCCAAATGAGGCTGTAAGGTGTCGACCTATTCAACATCATCAGCGTCTTTAATACTGGGTAGTGTGTAGCGTAGTCACCTTCACCGACTAGTAACAACTAGTAACAACTGCGATTCTTAAGAATAAGCCAGTAGGCAAGCTAAGTCCCCTTGGCATAGACTTGTAAGAATATTAGAAGCAACTGGTACGATAGCTAGTAATCATTTCTGCAATTAGGTGAGGCTAGCCGCTCTTACGGTTTGGTGATCGAAACCCGGTTCGTATCACAGCCATGCTAATTAAGCGACCCATCCCTGGAGTCGGCTGACTAGTATTATACAGGTCTGTGACAACGAAAACACTGACTTACACATGGACTAGCCCTACCAAGCCATTGCACGGGCCAACTGTGCCCTGAAGAGCCGAATTGATGATAAATAAAGATTTTTGAAACAAAATAAATCGAAATTTCAAGCTTTCCATTCTCGTCATTTCGTTAATTTTTTGTTAGCACTTACACTCGTTTTCATGGGATACAAATGAAACTGGTGCATAAAATGCAAAATATTAAACTGGAGCACTTTCAATAAGAAATATCCCGAAAATATTTATAAAAAATTACTAATGAGTAAAGCATTAGAAGTATGGACATGATTTACTCATTTACATTACTAATAAGTGAACTCCACTCGCACAAGAACGAAAAGCCCTTTCAATTTCCAGTGGAGTAAAGAGGGGGACNGCATTAGAAGTATGGACATGATTTACTCATTTACATTACTAATAAGTGAACTCCACTCGCACAAGAACGAAAAGCCCTTTCAATTCCTCGTGGAGTAAAGAGGGGGACGTTCAAGACAAGGCCCAAGATTTGCATAGCCACGTATGGCTGGCTACTCAATGAAAGTTTATATAATACATTGCTGACTGTACATTGTACTATAGTAGTAGTAGCACATTTTTAGGGTCAGTGCTCTCTCCCAAGCTTACTCAACAGGAAAATTTGTGCCTAAACTGAAAAGCCGGGACAGGATGGACTTATGCACGAATTCAAAGCAAGATTTCTGTTTCAACAAGCAACCAAGCCCCTTTCATTGCAATAAGCATCCAAGCCCTTTCATGGTCCGAGGGTTCTTTACCTCATTGAACCTACTTTGGCCCATTACTCCCAAGTAAGTGTTGACCCTGATCGACGTCCTTGCAAGAGGTAAAGAAAACGAAAGGCTCGATTTCGGCCCGATAATGGGACCCCCTGGGTGGTGAATTTTCTCGAAATCTTATCGAGTTTCATGTTAAAAATCGGCTATCATGGGTATTACAACCTATATTCACAATTAATTTTCATACAATACTTGATAGACTTCGAAAATCAGTGAAATCCGATTCCGGATCGGAAAACGGAACGCGAAATCTCAGCGTCTTCCGGTCCACTGGGACCTACAGTCCTTTCGAAAAAAAGACCCGAAAATGTATAGTTCTCAAATTTTTGACTTATACTTACCTCGAACGCTGCCGTACTTTGATGGGCTGAATTCAATAGCCTCCATTCTAAAAAGTAGCGTATAGGCAAGTTCACGTCGAGACATGTTTTGCGCCATTAACTACGTTATATCACATACGATTATCAATAAAAAAGAGTAAACGGCAATAAAACACCACCGTCATCGACGGATTTGGTAACGAGGTAAGTTTTTCAACAGGAACAAGGAAGGAAACGAGTAAGAGTTACGAGTAGTATGAGTATGGAACTGAATGAACAAAAGAGCAGAACACCATTACATTCATTCACTCACTCACTCCCATACACAGGAATCCGCCTTTGCGCACAGTAATTTCGAGGATTCCAAGGGATTCATCGTTGTCATTTGCGTTCCCGATGACCTCCCTAACCTCTACGGGCATGCTATGGATGACATACGGCAACATTTCACAGTCCCATCGTCAACATCCCCTTGGTTGGCTAGGGAGTACAGCCAGCCCACTGACCAAACCACTAGGATGGAAAAAAACGGGAAAAATATGCAGAACCCCATGCGGATGCTACGTTACCAGTTCGGGGGTTCGGTTCTTTCGGGGCCAGGTATGTGATAGTAACTGGGTCATGCTTTTTCCAATCCATCGGCAAACGCAATAAGTGCGACCTGTGATGTAGTTGGATGAGGATGAGGTGTGAATGAGTCAAACTGAGGTGGAAACGTTTTTTTGTTGGTAACCTTGGACCCGAAAACGGTAAATGAATGCACAGTATCATTCGAAATCACACAATAGACGCGCGCCAAAAAGCGATTGCGGGCGGCAGCCAGGGAGGGCGAGGCGAGCCAGGCCCACCGACGACGACGACAACGACGACGACGGCAACGATGGCATCCCATACAGACAGACAATGAATAGAAAAGGGAAATAAAACGAGTAATTCCCCCCTGCGACCTCAAAAGCGATTAGAGGGCTCGGATGACGAGCGAGGAATGCAGTAAGTGTCAGTGTAGAAGTAGGTAACTGTAACCGGGTAACTGGTGGCCAACCCCCAAGATTCCAGTAACTGTAGAAGAAAGTAGTCATTGTACGACAATTATCGGGTCAAAACCGTGGCCATTTTAGCTGTCGGATCCCACACATGGAACAGAACGAAAAACGTGTTTCCATTCGGAAAAACAGCTGCGAACGGCGCATTTGTGGTGGACAAACAAGGTGCAGGTGAATGTGCATTGTGCAGAAGGATTCGCGTATTAATTGCCAAACCAGACAACACCATTTTTTTCGGATTCCTATAGGATCGAAAATATTGGAAACTACGAGGGTATCGGAGGCGATAGGCGATAGGCTTCGTTCTGCAATTGAGCCCGGAACATTCGATGCTCCCTGAAATTTATGGGCTAATAGCTTGAGATCGTTGGAATCTAACGGTTCGACTGCTAAAACGGCATGAAAAATTGCAAAAATTTCCAAAAATTCTTGAAAAATCAGATCATTGACTCGAAAATTTTCAGAAATCGATTTGCATTGAGAACTACCGAAGAACCTCCATTCCTACAAGGTACTCCAACTTGTTTTCAAAGTCGAAGCTCAAGCCAGAAACTGAAGACAAGACAAGTCAGTAACTGAGGTCAGGGCTTAGGTCAAAAGTTAATGTGATGGCCTAACCCAGAAATTGAATTCAGGGCCTAAGTCAGAAATCAAGTCAGGTCCTAAGTCAGAAATTGAGTCAGAACAAGTCAGAAGTTGAGGTCAGGGCTAATTTTGAAGTTGAAGTCAGGGCCTAAGTCAGAAGTGGAAGCCAGGGCCTTAGAAATTGAAGTCAGGGCCAATTCTGAAGTTGAAGGCGGGACCTAAGTCAGAAGTTAAGTCAGGGCCTGAGCCAGGAAACGAACAAATCCTACATTGATACGATCCCCTGAGATTTTCCAAGCCCCATTCCTCCAATTACCCCTCCCCGACCTTCTTCCCTCCCACCTTCCTCACCTCTGAAAAGAAAAATCAGGTTATGTGGGAACGGACGGCAACGGAGAAAAGGAGAGGAAAGGATCTTTACTTTACCAACTCGATTTGAAATCTTGATAGTTCTGTTTACTAACTGGCCCGCTAAATGACCCTTCTCGGGAAGGTATCGGCAACGAATCCTCAGCACACGTGTGACCCTGGTTGGAGTGTTTACCCGACGACGATAGCCAAATCTCTTATAGTTAATTGCTGATCGAATTTCCCTATTTTTCGAAAAGCTCAATAGAATAGGAATGAATTTATGTCAAGGTAACATACCGGTAGTTACTGTGAATTGCTAGGTTAATGTTCTATAGTATTGTCGGATTGGTTTTTGAGTAATCGCCTAATTATTTTCGCGAAGTCGTAGAAATTGTAGAGTTTCTGGGATATTCTCATCAATCCACGTTACGAAGAGGGGACCCAGTGGGACAAGGGC